TGACCTCCTGCGCTTCACGGCCAGCTTTCCTTCCAGAGGGTGGGTCCTACCAGGTGCTCAGGCCACAGTCACCCACAGACTTCAACAGCTTCCGCAAGTGTGCAAGGCTAATCTAGAATAAGTCTTCTATCCACATCATAATGGTTCTGCTTTTCTGATGAACCCTAACTGCTCCGCAGGCTGGTAATGGACACTCTGGCAGGCTCACCCAGCGGAGGTGAGTGAGGACCTCTGGGAGTCTGGAGCACGGCTACACCATCCTTTACAGAGAACCACCTTAGTTCTGAGGAACTACTTTCGGCTAGCGAAGCCCTGGCAGAGACGTCAGGCTTCACCATGGGGCACCAAGAGAAGAGGAAACCTAAGCCGCCCTGCATGGCCCACAGGCTCTCTGACCCATGAAGGGGCACTCCATCCTCAAATCAAAGCGGGTGTGTGAGAGCAGGCTCCATCCACGCCAGAAGACGTGAGTGAGCAAGGAGCCCTTAGTCCTGTGCGCTGCCTCCTCCCTCAACAACCATTCACGAACGCTACCTAATGGTTTAGTTGGATGACTGACAATGGAGAGAAACATGATTAAAAAACAGGTAACAAACAACTGGTCTGCAGAAGATGCTGTCAACAGACCTTCACAAATGGGCACATGATGTAAACAGACCTCAGCAGAAGAGGATCTTGATACTCAGGTAAATACCACCACCCACTGTATCTACATCAGTCAGCCTCATTCCCCATACTCAGGTGAATACCACCACCCACTGTATCTACATCAGTCAGCCTCATTCTCCATACTCAGGTGAATACCACCATCCACTGTATCTACATCAGTCAGCCTCATTCTCCATACTCAGGTAAATACCACCATCCACTGTATCTACATCAGTCAGCCTCATTCTCCATACTCAGGTAAATACCACCACCCACTGTATCTACATCAGTCAGCCTCATTCTCCATACTCAGGTAAATACCACCACCCACTGTATCTACATCAGTCAGCCTCATTCCCCATACTCAGGTAAATACCACCACCCACTGTATCTACATCAGTCAGCCTCATTCCCCATACTCAGGTGAATACCATCACCCACTGTATCTACATCAGTCAGCCTCATTCTCCATACTCAGGTAAATACCACCATCCACTGTATCTACATCAGTCAGCCTCATTCTCCATATTCAGGTAAATACCATCACCCACTGTATCTACATCAGTCAGCCTCATTCTCCATACTCGGGTAAATACCACCACCCACTGTTTCTATATCAGTCAGCCTCATTCCCCAGACTTCTTGTCCAAATGGGCTCATGTACATGTGGACATGATGGCAGGAATAGAGGTTATGCATGAACTCAGCAACACGGACTTCACTCCTGGAAATTAATCCGACTCCAGGTACTTCCGAGTACCCTACCTGCCAACAGCAGACGCCAACATCAACCTCCCCACCCCACCCCTACGCCCTGACACCATCCCTGGGATATCAGCTGGCACCTCATGGCAGGTTGTTATCACTGGTCCACTTCCATCATGAAGAGATCATTAAAATAAATTTGCCTTCTAGGTCCACAGGGCCTTAGGGAATGTCCTGTTCTCCACGATGGGATCCCCACACCATTGCTTCTGACCAGGGAACTCATTTACAGCAAATGAAGTACACGACAATGGCTCTGTGCTCAGGAAATTCACTGACCTTGCCGCAGTCTCCAGCACCCTGAAGTCGCTTGCCCAATAGGTCAAAATACATATATTTTTAATATCCAGTTAGAGTGCCAACCAACTGGTGACAGCTTGTAGGCTTGGGGGCAACAGACTTCAGAGTATCTTCTGGCAATATAGGTTTTGACTTGGTGGTACTGTTTCTCCCACAGCCCAGACTCACAGCCCAAGAATCGAGGGGTGACACGCGAGGAGCCTCCTCTCCCTGTCACCCCCAGTGACCCACTAACGAAATGTTTGCTTTCCTTCCCTAAAATGCTGGACTGCATGGGTCTAAGGGCAAGACAGGGCAATGGTTTCATTAAACTGGAAGCAGAAGCTGCCACCTGGCCACACTGGGCTCCTCATGTCAATAACAGGCAAAGAAGCGGCTCTGGCAGTGGCTGAGGTGACAGACCCCAACCGTGAGGAGCCGTTACCCCACAGTGGCATTACCCCACAGTGGCATTACCCCACAGTGGGAGTAAGGAAGAACACTCAGGGGACCTGGAAGACCCCCTGAGTGCCCCCTCTGTGTTCTCACACCCTCTGATTAAAGTTAATGAAAAGTCATGGCCATCCAATACAGAAGTGCTACTGAAGGTCCAGACCTTGCAGGAAAGGAAGTCGGATCACCCACCAAGAAAAAAACCATGACCAACCAAGAGGTTTGCTGAGGGCAGCGGGAATACGAAAGGGACAATAGAAGGAAGTGGTCGATTCTAGCCATGAACACTGACCAGGTGTGGAGACTGAACCTGTTCTAGGCTTTTCTTCCTTGTTTTGATAAGAATATAACTGTGTACACAGAAATGAATTCTTCTTCCTCCCTCTCCCAGGCCCCTACCATCTCACATAAGAAGCGCTAACAGGAGTCAACCTTGTATTAGTATCTTGGAATCTGGTTTACAGGCTCTAGAAGAGAATGGATGTCATCCAAATGTTGGACAAAGGGGCTCTGTCTCCTCTGTGGGGAGTTGGGGATTTTCTGTCACCTGGGTGATGGTGAATTATGTTAGGCTCAACCATGCGCTGCTCGTCTCTACTTGGAAACTCAGTGTGGCTAAAAGAGGTATGCATGGGTACCAAGTTGACCAAAGATAAACTGTGGTGGTTTTCTACTGTATCAACCTAGCAAGGCTGGAATCACACTTCCCAAAATTCCCTTTCTTAGATGATTCTGGGCTAGGGTGGCCCTGAGAGAAATCTGGGAATGATGTGGAGGGCAGAGGGAAGCAGTGGCCCCAGACTGCAGGTTGGCATGGGGACAGGGACTGCTGCAGCTCACGTGGGCTGTTGCCGGTCACCCGTGCCATCAGGAGAGACGCAGGCTCCCGTCTGTCTGTCCCTCCTCTTCCCCAATCCTCATCCAGCTTTCTTCCCAGCTGCCAGCCTGACCAGACACAGCAGAAACTGCCTGTGCTTCTTCCAAGGAAGAAGTTCTCACAACTGCAGACGGCCTCATTCCTTCAATAAACTCCTCCCTCCGTGACATGTGAAACGGATTGGCTTCTCCGATGAGACCACAACCCACATAGGTTCGACAAAACCATCTCAAAGTTCGTATCTAACTGAGGGCCATATGATCCTGAACTGAGCAGACAAGTCAACCACCGGCTATTGCTCTGCAAGGGAGGGGCGGCTGTGTCCTGGGGCTATCAACTGAGCGTCCCACGGCAGACTTGTGATTGGAGAAGCCACTGTGCGCCATCACTGCTGTCTCCTCATTCCCCAGGCCTGAGTTCCCCGGTCCCCTCTTCTTCCGGACTCAGCGGCTGAGGAACAGCACCCCTGAAGGGGCTGTGACCCGCCAGCTATGTGCAGCTCCTCTGAATGAAAATGACCAACAGCCCCCAAAATCAAACAATCCCCGTTTCCAGCCTTGAAAGTACCCTGCAGGGGGAAGGCCGGAGACAAACGTTCCAAATGCTAGAAAATACCCTCAAGAAGAAAACATACTTGTCTTTACTCACTGCCATTACAAAGAAAGGAACCCAGTGAAGTTCTGAGTTGTATCAAGACATTTAATTTGTTTTCCCATTAATCTACCGTCTTCTTAAAGAGTTGATAAATTATTCTCAAAACCGAAGAATCCATGACCACCTTATCAGAACTACCCCTTTTCTCATCCAGAGCACAACAACTCTGTATTGACACTCGGCCCAGTCTATGCCTCGACTGCTCTAGAAGCTGATGAGACAGGCAAGGAGGAGCAGCCGGCGCCCTCAGGGGCATGCAGTCCAGCTGGCCTGGCTTCTCCACAGCCCTTCTCCGCACTCAGAGAAGCATGCCAACAGGGGAATCTCCTGTAACAACCTCCTTCCAGTCATCAAGACAGATCCTGCTTTGGTGGAATAACTGTGCTCGTAGACTGCCGAGGAGAGAAAGATCTGAAATGCAAAGTCTCTATGTGGCGGGTAACAGTATAACAACGTTGGGGAAAAGGAGAGTATTTCCCTTAGGAGACAGATAAGGCTGGAGACCACGCACAGAAGCCTCCTGAGTACAATCAGCAACCACTCTGTCACTTTCCACTTACCTACCTTTCGTTTTTAAAACGCAAGCTGGATTCCGTAAGTTGACATACATTCAGGTATTCAACTTTCTTATGAGATGGTAGCTCCCTGCCTGACAGATGCTGAAAGGAGACATGGAGCCACCAATTCAAAAATGAATTCCGGAGATTCAACATCAGCACGTCACGCTTCATCTGAACTTGAAGCTGGGTACTAGCAAACAGGTACTTCTGAGTGCTACCAACAGGCCACTAACTGGGGCCAGGAGAACCAAAGCTTAGCAAAAATCATCTAATAGAATCTGTACCCCCAAAAAAAGAAAAAACCAAAAGTCTATGACCAAGATGCCTGTTTGTGTTGTACTCAATTATTTCCAGCCCGATAGCCAGCCTGGTGGAAAATGCTCTAATCGTGGGAGGATGGGTGCAGCCCAAGAAGGTCAAAGACTAAGGAAGTGGGGGCTGTAGCACACACCAAAACATATACCACAAATTGCCATTTCTCTTCTGCAAAGATGATGCCTGTTGCCACAGCAATAAGCATTCACTACCTTTGAGTCACAAGGAAGACAGCAATTGGAATAGAGGCTTGTACGTGAGTGTCCTTCCTTAGTCTTGGTGTCCTTCTCAAAACCTTTCCTGTACTGACAACCTCTTTGGGTTCAAAAAGCACTTGGCCCGTGGTGGTTTATAATGCCCTGTTCCCCTTCCTACCCAGAAAGGGGACAGGCTCTGCAACAGTCCTGCCAATCACAAAGGCAGCGTGCTGGGCGGGGCTGGCCACTCACTTGATGTGATGTATTCCGGAGCTTTTCCGGGGCTCAGCGGCACAGCTTCCTCATAATAACCTTCTGGGAGGGAGGACGTTGGCAATGGCGGAGGCCCACTGTCAGGAGGCTGAGGAAGAAAGGAAAAGCGACACAGAAATTAGCGTGACAGTTAGAAGGAAATTCTGGATTTCCAATTAATGAATGTGGCCAGTCTTTTCCTCTTTCCTTTTTAAAGTCTTCGGAAAAGAGAACCTCATCCTACAAAGAGGTTTGGAAGGCCGGTCCTGATGTGTCTCTCTTACTTTCCTGCATGCATTCATGCCCCAGCCCCGGCCACATGCCGTCCGGTCCACACCAAATCTCCGGGTTCAGCGTGTGCAGCAGTCTCATTGGAGTATCCACGACACGGAATTCCCCTTCCCCCATGTAGGACTGGGCCTGTTCAGATGCTGCTGCCCCAGGGGTCTGAGACAGCGTCTGCATTCTCCTTTATCCCCACACACACCAACCCTCGCAGGCCTCAGACGCAGACTCTGGGACTCCATGGCCCTGCCACAGGCGGTGGGCTCCTGAGACACAGATGCTCAGGTGCACCCAGCACTCATTACAGAGTGAGCTGGTGAGCCACACTGGCTGAGTGCATGAGTGAGGCCTGCCCACATTCTCACTATATCCCTACTGTGTGCTAGGAAAACTTCAAAAAAAAAAAAAATCAGCTGGGAGCCACTCTCTAAAACAAAGTAGAAGTTATTCTCCAGAGACGGAATCTACTCCTTATTAAAACCAATCATGTCACTTTTTTTTCTTTTTTTTTTTTGAGTTGGAGTCTCGCTCTGTCACCCAGGCTGGAGTGCAGAGGCACGATCTCTGCTCACTGCAAGCTCCACCTCCCGGGTTCACGCCATTCTCCTGCCTCAGCTTCCCGAGTAGCTGGGACTACAGGCACCCGCCACCACGCTCGGCTAAGTTTTGTATTTTTAGTAGAGACGGGGTTTCACAGTGTTAGCCAGGATGGTCTTGAACTCCTGACCTCGTGATCCGTCTGCCTCAGTCTCCCAAAGTACTGGGATTACAGGCGTGAGCCACCGTGCCTGGCCCATCACAATTTTTTAACAAACTCAGAGACTGAAACACTCTCTGGTTGTGAAGCCACAGCCTTAGAATATGGACAAGCTGGTGGCTCACTCCATGCCTCGGGACAACCTACATCCCGCCTGGCCTTTAGGACTCTGCTCGGGTCCCCTCTTTTCTTAAATGTTCCTGATGGCTCTGAACCACCCCAGCCTCTCCCTCCTAAGACCATCTACAGGACTTGTTGGTGTGTCTCTCACTGGTTCTTCTGCCAACAGAGGCGGCTGAATGGCAGGAAAGCCAGCATTCGCCCAGCATCTGCGATCTGCCCAGCACTGTGCTAGACACTTCTGCACTGGCTACAGGAACGTCAATCTATCCATGCAGGAATCCTTCAGGCAACGCATTCTATTACACTATATTTTACAGATACAGAAGTTGAGGCTCAGAATCTAAATCTGCTCAGACACTAGTAACTGCCAGCTGGAGTTTTCAAACACCAGGTCTGTCTGTTAGAGACCTTTTTAATATTCATATTCTCTCTCTCCCCTCTTTTTCGTATGAACAGCATGCAACAATTTCCCACTACCTAGATTCTGTAAACAAGCTGGGAAGAGGTATGTCACAAGGAATGGAACAGAGCAGAGGCCCCAAATTAAAATCTACTCAGTTACAGTTCCAAGTAGAACAAGGTTCTATTGAAAGTCTGGGGCTGTTGTGTTTTTTTAACGTAAACTCTCCAGAAAGTGTAACTCCATCGCTTTCCATGTAACTCATCTCTGAAGCCAAGAAGTCCTTTGTGAATGACTAATCACCCACTGCAGACTCAACCCACTCCTTCCTCTCACCAGATGAAGAAGAGAACTCACTCCAGACCATCTGCACAACATTTCTTCAGGGACTCACAGACAGTTACCTCCCTCCCGCCCCCAGTCCTTGTTCCCGAGGCTAAATAACTCCAATTCCGCACCCCTATCAGAAGGCTGGCTTCCCAAACTGTCATCATAGTGTGGCATTAGGCTGGACCATCTCCAGGTCCTTCATATCATCCTACAGAGGCAACAGAACCTGACACATGGGGCCCAGCACCAGGCAAGGTCTGTACAGGAGTCCATATCCAAGTTAAAATCTCTGCTAGCTGCTTTTGGAAAAGAGCTGCTTGATTCACTGAGTATCTTTTATTCCTGAGACGCCGCATATTCCAACCTCCTTTTAGCATGGTCAAACAATCAAACTACTCATGTCCCGGAAAAGCACGACAAATAGCTGAATCAAACAAACGTCTGTGAACTAGTACAGGTCAGACTCCTTTCCTCAGTGCCCCAAGGAACTTACTCTCTGAATCGATGGGGTTCTGAGTAGATGCTTTCAAACCCTATTGGTGGTCATGTACTTGGCACAACCTTTTGAGTATGCCCTTAGATCCAATAATTCCACTTCTAGAAACATATGTCAGAAGGGTCAATTGGTCACATGAGAAAAAAACCACATAAGGATGTTCAATAAAAGTTTGTTGGCCAACAAATACATGAAAAAATGCTCGTCATCACTGGCCATCAGAGAAATGCAAATCAAAACTAAAATGAGATACCGTCTCACACCAGTTAGAATGGCAATCACTAAAAAGTCAGGAAACAACAGGTGCTGGAGAGGATGTGGAGAAATAGGAACACTTTTACACTGTTGGTGGGATTGTAAACTGGTTCAACCATTGTGGAAAATAGTATGGCGATTCCTCAAGGATCTAGAACTAGAAATACCATATGACCCAGCCATTCCATTACTGGGTATATACCCAAAGGATTATAAATCATGCTGCTATAAAGACACATGCACACGTATGTTTATTGCGGCACTGTTCACAATAGCAAAGACTTGGAATCAACCCAAATGTCCATCAGTGACAGACTGGATTAAGAAAATATGGCACATATACACCATGGAATACTATGCAGCCATAAAAAAGGATGAGTTCGTGTCCTTTGTAGGGACATGGATGCTGCTGGAAACCATCATTCTCAGCAAACTATCACAAGAACAGAAAACCAAACACCGCATGTTCTCACTCATAGGTGGTAACTGAACAATGAGATCACTTGGCCTCTGGAAGGAAAACATCACACACCAGGCAGGGCCTATTATGGGGAGTGGCGGGGGGAGGGATGGCATTGGGAGTTATACCCAATGTAAATGACGAGTTGATGGGTGCTGACGAGTTGATGGGTGCAGCACACCAACATGGCACAAGTATACATATGTAACAAACCTGCACGTTGTGCACATGTACCCTAGAACTTAAAGTATAAAAAAAAAGAAACATCACATAAAAAAAAAAAAGCCCTTAAAAAAAAAAGTTTGTTTATAAAATCTAAAACAATCTAAATGTTCAAGAGAAGAATGCTCAGATGTACTGCTACATCCAGATAGACATTTAAAAGGCCAGTGCATGTGTATGGCCATTGACTTTATTAACCTCTAAGAGATACTGCTGAATGAAAGAACACAGGTGTACTATGACCCCTCTACGTAAGAGGTGAGTGTCTGTGCTTACATACACACAAAGGCAGAAGGTCCTTCACCAAGAGTGCTCCTAGTGGTTCCTCTTTCTATATGCAATCTGGAACGCTTGCCTTTTCTGCCTAGAATGACATTTTAAAAATCATTTTAAAAAATAAAACCACTTTCATTTTGAAATAATACCCCCTCAGAAAATAATACTGCTAGAGAGTCGCTCCACTCTCAATACCACTTATCGTTGAAATCGACCACAGGGGTTTCAGACACTTCAGGCTTGTTAAAGTCAAACAGAAGGGGCGAAAAGATGAGCAAACTGTCACTTACCGCCACTGCTTTCAGAGGATCAAGTCTTTCCAATCCTTTCCAATATATAAGAACTCACTGAAAGCACAAGTAACGGAATTCTAAAAAGTACACAGCAGGGAAGGCAGGTTTCCCACAGGGGCCACGGGGAAGCAGAAGCCAGGCAGGAAGTAAGAGAGTCGGGCGAAGGGAGGAAGACGCAGGTGCACAGCCACTCACATCCAAGGCCAGGTTGTTCCTGCACCTCTGCAACCTTGCCAAGACTCCACGTCCCCATTCCCTCACCTAGAACAAGGGCATCGTGTCAGAACAACCTCCAGGGCCCACCCCAGCTCTGAGAGTCCAATTCCAGCATTCTTATAAAGTTACAGGTCCACAGACAACAAAGCCAACTTTACCTCTTCCAAAATTCCATTGGCAGCCTACCCTGTGTCTTCCCAAAGGATAAAGGACATGCGAATCTCTGGGCAGAGCAAGTCCCTCAAATGTACAACTGAGTGGCAGCCCCACACACCACTGTGGAGTCACTCAACTCTCCCCCACTATCAGGAGTGACCCAGTCCGTGCACATGCCCCTAACACGTCTTGCATCTGGCCCCACTGTTTCTTGGGCTGCCACTCACAAAACACAAGCTACGGCAACAAGGATCCTTGGGCCGGGCGCGGTGGCTCACGCCTGTAATCCCAGCACTTTGGGAGACCTAGGCGGGCAGATCACGAGGTCAAGAGTTCGAGACCAGCCTGGCCAACATGATGAAATCCTGTCTCTACTAAGAATACAAAAATTAGCTCGGCGTGGTGGCAGGGCTCCTGTAATCCCAGCTACTCAGGAGGCTGAGGCAGGAGAATTGCTTGAACCTGGGAGGTGGAGGTTGCAGTGAGCCAACATTGCTGCGCTGCACTCCAGCCTGGGTGACAGAGCAAGACTCTGTCTCAAAAAAAAAGAAAACAAGGGTCCAAATTCTAACCACCATGGCATCTTTTGACACTTAAAAAGAAGTATGAGAAACTACCTTCCTTAGAGAAGGACTGATCTTCACCCCTGCTGTGCCCTAGAAATAAGACAGAACCGGCACCGTGCCAGTGACTAGGTAACTCTCAAATTCACTCAAATATTTCTCCCTCAAATTAATACTTAAGTAAAAGCTCCCGAACCTGTTAGTTCAGAAAATCTTATCTACCTTCAGGTATCATAAATTTCTGCTGTAAGGTCTCCATCTGGCATTAGAGAAAACT